GGATAAAGAAAAAAAACATTAAATTTTAAACTTAAGATTTATTTCGGCCTGACGTGAAATGATTAGATTTTAGACATAGTCGGAACATCTGGGGGGGTACTTTATGGGAGGCCACTTTTATATTTTATGGAATATATCTGTTATTAATGTTTGGAGAAAAAAATTCTTCAAATAAAAGTTACTTCTAATATTATTATCTATAATTTTTGTTTTATGTAAAAATTTCCTGAAATGGTCCGTATTCGAGAAATTTGACAAAATGTGCAAAATTTTGATTTTTATGAAAGTTTTTGAAATAAAAGTTGTTTGCGATATCGATCTCTATAATTTTTGTTTATACATGAATTTTCTAAAATGGACCGTAATGAAAAAATTGTAGGAAATTTTAATTTTTCAGTATTTTCGTTTTCCATGAATATCTATAGAAAAATGTTTCGAGGTAGATGTATGTGGACAATGTATATATTTAGTTTATCCTCTAAACATTTATAGAGATGCTGCAATAGGTTGTACAAAATAACCGGAAAAAGCCTATAATAACTAGATAGGAAAGTCATGTGTTGGACACATCAGATTTTTTTTGAAGCAATGCGAATGCGTCATGAGAATAAATAAATAAATTTTCGTACAAGAAGTCTCGTATAAAATTTTTTTTTTAAAACCAATTTTTTAAAAAAATAGATTTTTAAAAAATCGATTTTTTAATTAATCCAAACCCTTACAATCGATTAAAAAATATCGACAATCGAAAGAAAACAATCGATTGTTCGATTTCGATGTTACAATACTACTCTCCAACCATCTTACGAATTTTCGATCAGCCCACGGATACAAAGAAAAACACCAAATTTTAAACTTAAGCTTTATTCCGGCTTCCAGTGAACTGATTAGATTTTGGACAGAGTCGGAACATCTGGGGGGGTACTTTATGGGTGGTTATTTTTATATTTTATGGAATATATGTTATTTACGTTTAGAGAAGAAAATTCTATAAAAGTTATTTACAATTTTAGTAGCTATAATTTTTGATCTATACAAAATTTTCCTAAAATGGTCCGTATTCGAGAAATTTAACAAAATGTAAAAGATTAATTTTTTATAAAAATTGTTCAAATAAAAGTTATTTGTATTATAATTCTCTATAATTTTTTTCTATACATAATTTCTCTAAAATAGACCGTATTCGAGATATTTGAAAAAATGTGTAAATTTCGAATTTTGAAGAAAACTCAAAAACGGATAAAGGAAAAAACATTAAATTTTAAACTTAAGTTTTATTTCGGTCTGAGCTGAAATGATTAGATTTTGGACAAAGTTGGAACATCTGGGGGGTACTTTATGGGAGGCCGCTTTTATATTTTATGGTATATATTTGTTATTTACATTTGAAAAAGAAAATTCTTCAAATAAAAGTTACTTCTAATATTATTATCTATAATTTTTGTATTATGCCAAATTTTCATGAAATGGTCCGTATTCGAGAAATTTAACAAAATGTACAAAATTGTGATTTTTAAGAAAATTGTTAAACTAAAAGTTGTTTGCGATATCGATCTCTATAATTTTTGTTTATTACATGATTTTTCTAAAATGGACCGTAATGGAAAAATTGGAGGAAAAGCACTAAAGTTAAATTTTTCAGTATTTTCGTTTTCAATGAATATATAAAAATGTTTAGAGTTAGATGTATATGGAAAATGTATATATTTAGTTTGTCCTAAACATATATAGAGGTGTTGCAATAGGTTGTACAAAATAACAGAAAAAAGCCTATAATAACTAGATAGGAAAGTCAAGTGTTTGACACATCAGATTTTTATATCTATTCTAATTGTATTTATCTTTATGTTTGAAATGTTTAGACATTGCGTGTGGGTGCGTGCGTGTGCGTGTCTGTATACTCGATAACTCATGAACGGGTACAAAGAAAAACACCAAATTTTAAACTTAAGCTATTCCGGCCTGCGGTGAACTGATTAGATTTTGAGCGTAGTCGGAACATCAAGAGGGATATTTTATACAGGATCGGTCTTCTATTTTATGGAATACATCTGTTATTTACGCTTGGAGAAGAAACATATTTAAATACAAGTTGCTTGAAATATTATTCGCAATAATTTTTGTCCTATACAAAATGTTCCTAAAATGATCGGAATCCGAGATAATTGACAAAAAGTTAAAGTTCAAATATTTACAAAAATTGTTCAAATAAAAATTGTTTGTTGTCATTCTCTATAATTCTTGTCTTTTACATCATTTCTCTAAAACGGACCATATTTGAGGAAAAGTGCAAATTTCGAATTTTGAAGATAATTCAAGAATGGAATAAGATAAAAACCAATTTTTAATCCATCCTGCGGTGAACTGATTAAATTGTGGGCATAGTGGAAACATCTGGAGGGTACTTTATGTAAGGTCGTTTTCCTACTTTATGGAATATATGTTATTTAAGGTTAACTATAATAGAATTTCCCATTATTTTGATGAAAACAAAATACTTCCGAATTGCTAGGCTTTGTCAAGTTACTGATGATATTGTAAGAAATATAGACTTAAGACAAATTACAGGACTTCCAAAGCATTCGATACTATCAATCACAATCTACTTTGTTTCAAATTAAAATATTTTGGTTTTTCTGAAAATTCTATTCATTTCATTTATTCATATTTGTCTAACTGTGGTCAAAAAGTTATTTTAAATAATTCATTTTCTTCATTACAAAACCTAACGTATGGTGTGCCATAGGGCTCACTATTAGGACCATTGCCTTTTATTTTATATACCAGTGACATATTAACATCTGTTCACAACTGTAAAATAAATTATTACAATATTGATAGCAAGTTGCTGAACAAGCTTTAAATGAATATCTTGATCTTATTAATAAATTATTAATTAAACATAATCTTAAGCTCAATAAAAATAATTGTCATCTAATCATATTTGGAAACAAAAAACAACGAAATTACCTTAGTCAAAGACAACAAATAGATGATTTCAACGGAAGACAATGAAGACATATTCACAGAACACTTACTCTGACATATTGAAGTTGCAAGGTCATTGGAAGATCTTTACGCCATCTGTAAGTTTACATAACAACTAATAAAATAAAAAAGAAAACTGTAAATTATTATTTTGACAATCTGTTTAAGGTTACGGCGTCGGTATTCATTTCTTTCTTTCTCTTCTTCAATAGTTGTATGTGCTCAGTTTTTCACCATCTCTATCTACTTCTTTTTCTTAGTCATGTGTCATGTCAAAATTTGTAAAAACAAAACAAATTGAGGTTACAATCTCTGGTTTTGTTTTTGAATTATTTCTTGCATTTATTTTCAAAATACTAGCTTAGAAACGCAAAGAAAATGATGAAAAGTAAAGTTAAAAGGTAGGTGTGCACCTTTTGTTTACTACTTTAAATTTCAAAGTGAATAGATGTATTTATAATTGTTTGGTAATGCAGCCGACACCCATTAAAAAATGTTTTAATTTAACAAAAATCAGCTATAGAGGCCTAACGCGCGCTTAGCAAGCCATGTAGATCTAGATTCCAGATCTTGGCGATAGTGATAGTGAAAACTGGAGCTCATACAACTAAAAAAAAGAAGAAATTTGTGCTGACGCCGCCGTAACTTTAGACAGATTGCCAAAATAATAATTTAGTTTTCTTTTTTATTTTATTAGTTGTTATGTAAACTTATAGATGGCGCAAAGATCTTCCAATGACCTTGCAACTTCAAGATGTCTTCCGTTGAAATCATCTATTCATCAACTAACTTACCTATAGCGGATTCCAAAAATAATCTAGGCATTCTGTTTGACTCTGATCTCAATTTCCACTCGCATATAAACAACCTTTTAAAAAAAAGTCATTTTCGACTTTAAAAAAGTTATATTCCATAAGGTATAGAAGGTGAAAAAAATGTTATCAGAGTCCTTGTTTTGTCTATTTTCTCATATGGTGATAGCTATGGAAATTTTATTCTTATACACAAAACCGCATACAAAAAGTACAAAATTATTGTGCTAGATTTATTTATGGTCGAATATCTCATAACATTTATAATCTTGAATGGTTAAAAATGAATAATAAACGTCAATATAAATTTATTAATTTCTTGTATGTCATAAAAGGAAATAAAACAAACACTTTTGGATAAGTTAGTTGTGAGGTCAGCACACCTCTAAATGTCCGATCTAGAAATCTTTTTCACATTCGTCATCACAATTCTGCCATGTTTCAGAAATCATTCACCTACAAATCTGTTGAAATTTATAATCAATACATACAAATACATCATCCGCAACATATTTTCCAAGGAAAATTTAAGCATAATCTACTCACAGCAATTTTAATTCTTTAAACTTTGTTTTTCAACTATTTTTAAATTAATCCATTGTATTATATTTTATGTTTCTACTATTTTTATTTATTTTTTATTTCATATCTAATTTTATATTTCGAACTTAATTATTATTTTGAAATTTAATTAATGATAAAATCAGTTAAAATCTAATTTTCTTTATTATTTTATTAATAGCATTATGCTTCCTTCTATATTGTACTTTTAGGTTAAGAACAAGAATAGCTTGTAGCTAAACTGTGCCTCTTTGTACAAAGAGGCACAGCTTTGTATAATTTATTAATAAAGACGATTTATTATAATTTTTAAACATTTAACATGTCTTTATTGATGTCTGTAAATGCCCAATATACTATTTATTTCAAAATATAGAAAACATTCTTCATTCGCTTACCTCCAAGAATCCATGACGAACAAATAAAAATTAATATCTATAAACACTTCCGCTGTTACTCATAAACGACGATATTACAAAATAGTTAAAAGATATTTTGTCACTGTTCACTGTTGGTATAGACAACCATCTCAAAATTGCGGAGTTAGTATACAGAAGACTATTATACCAGCGTTTTTTAACGGATTGGTAGGTTCATCTGGGTTAAAACGCTCCGTTAACACACGGATCAAACATAACTCATAAATTACTTTTTCCAATGTTTTATTTTGAAGCACTAAATTATTACATGATAATTAAAAAAATTATTAGATATTTAAATGCCTTTATGAATATTATTACTGCCATGACAGCCATTTTTGGCTGTGTACATTTAAGGTTTACAATGGTTCAAATAACGAGGATATAAGCAAACTTCTCTAATATGATATCTATTCAATAACCAACAGACAAATCTTTCCAAACCCAAGCCATAACCGCCATGAGGACAAGTACCGTACTTTCTTTGGTCCGTGTACCAGAAATATGGAGCTGGGTCTATTTCTTCTTGCTTGTAGCTAAATAAAAACATTCATTTTTACAAACCCTATATAAAAATCATTAAATCTAACTTACCCTTTCAACAATTCCTCCAAATCCCAAATCCTCATCGATCCTCCAACAATTTCTCCTACATTGGGCAAAAGAACATCAACACTTTCAGTGAGTCGTTTATCTTCTGGACACTTGGACATGTAAAACGATTTAATATTAGCTGGGAACCTGCACAGCATGATGGGTTTGTTGATTTGGTCAGTCATTTTTCGTTCTGGCATTTCTGGAATGTCCTAAAACAAAAATCGACGTTTAACATACAATAATGTTTACTTTTCTGTCTGTATACAGATGAGGAAAGTATAGGAATCATGATTTTATTCGACCTGGAGCTTTCGACGGATTTTTACATTTTCGGGTCCCCTGAATCCGTTTTGACTATTTTCGTGATGATGTCATAATTGTTAATTCTTAGTATTTATTGTACATTTTTAATTTATATTCATGTTACAACTCTACTACCCAGTATATTCTGCCTTACAGGCCTGATGATGGTCACTGACCAAAAACAGGTCGCCTTACGTCTTTTTTATCCTAAATAATGAAAAATACTAGTAATTTGTTAATTAAGAAAATTTCATATGGTGATTAGAATTGAAGGGGTCAATGCAATAAATGGACATGCCCATATTTTTAGAAAAATCAATGTTTAATAAGTACATGTATTCCGTAGTAAACTCAGTTCCGGAAATAAGGAAGTATCGGCAAAAGTTCTTTCCAATTTCGCAGAGCGGTCAATAAGATTGATATTATTTTTCAAGCGTTAAACAAGTTAGCCATTTTAGGTTTTCATAATACATACATTAGCAAAGTACTCGGCTAAGTATAATAAAGTGAATATTGTATTGTGTGCTGATATGCAATCAGAAAACTAATTCCTGAGAAAATTCACAAAAAGGCACACTCAAGACATTTGGTCCTTCGGGCCGGGTCTGAGTTTATTACGGAACAACACGTTTCTTGTCAGAGCTGGGCAGAAAAAGTAGCTAAACTTCAAACTACTTTTGGTTGAAAAATAGTTGTACTAGATTTAATTTTTCTCTTTAAAATACACAATATAGTAGTTAAAAAATATTAACAAGCCTCCATCCCCAGCATTGTTATTTTCATTACAATGGACTCATCGAGTACTTTTATTCAACTACCTAGCACAGATGAAGAATATAAAAATTTCAAAATCATGCATAGTGTTGGAAATGCATCCAATATATTTAATTAAAACATTAGGCTATCTAAGCCCTGGGCACTTAATCGATCAATCAATTGATAATTAAATAATTAACTCTCCAAATAATTCATCTATTTAATATAATAAGAAACCAATTAACAATTCAAATAAAAAAGTAATAAACAAACTATTGATAATGAGATGGCGCTAAATGAAATTAATGTAAATATTTGTATCTCGAAGCGGAACATTGATCAAAAAGAATATTCAGTCAAATACAATGGACAGATGATCCATAATAACTGGTACATGTATGTACCAGCGACCGTTATAGGGTTAATATTATAATAAATATGTAATTATTAATTACTTACCTCTCCAAATTCATAAAAAGTACCATCCTCTTTCGAAATGTTATTCTTCTTTAAATACTCGATAGCATCCGAGTAGTTCATCCTCATAAATGGTCTTTCTGGAACTTTAAAACCTGGGTTAAGTTCATATACAATATGCCCAAACGGCGATTTTAAAACTCTTTCAACAACGTCACAAATCAAATCTTCTAAACGATCCAACAAGTCATCAAAAGTTATAAATGGACATTCAGCTTCAACGTGAGTATATCTAAAAATAATTTTAAAAATGCTATTATTAGTTACAACCTTCATTTGACCGACTCACTCAGCTAGATGTCTTCTCGTTCTGCTTTGTTCAGCTCTAAAACTTTCAGCTATGCAATAAACGTCGCCCATAGATGGCAGGCAAGTTTCGAGATACAATTGAGAGCTTTGTGTTAAAAATGCTTCTTCACCGAAATAATCCATTTTGAACAACGTCGATCCTCCTTCTACCTGAGTTTGGACTATAGATGGAGGAGTGATTTCGCAATAACCTCTGTCCAAATAATGGTCTCTAAGAATATAAAGAAAACAAAAGATATCATACTTGTTTTTTAAAGATATAAATGAAAATATTGAAAGAATATAGAAACCACATTTAGCATACCTAAAAGCCTGTAATAATACAGATCGTATCCTCAAGACTTTAGAAGTGTTCTCTCCCCTAATCATTATGTGCCTATTATCAGCTTGGACATCAGGTAAAGCCTGTTCGTTCAATATGGAGTCAGCACCACCTGGTGGAGCCAAACCTATCAGTTCCCAATAATCTACTACAAGTTCATGTCCTCCTGGAGCCTATAATTGATGAAAAACATTTTATAATCATGTACCTGTTTTATTAATACTAAATTTTCTTACATTTTTTCCTTCTGGTACTTTTTGAATTGTCCCGTACAGCAGTATTGATGATTCAGTTTGTAAAACAAGAGCATTGTATGTTTGGCAAAGTTTATCATTGAGCACAGATTGTATGAATCCAGTGCCATCTCTGAGAGTAACAAACATTAAATTTTTGCCCTGTCTCCTGATTCTATGAACCCAACCATATACTTTGACTCTGCCTTCTCTATGTTTTTCACCTAAAAAATGTTTGTATTTTGAATTACTTTTGGTTGTACCATTTAAAAATACCACTGGGTAGGTATTGCTCAATTTTAAGAAAGAAGAATTATTAATGAAAGAATGAAACTTAAATAAGATATACATATACAATTTATACATGCACATATACATTTCTATATCATTATTGCATCGATCCGTATATCGGACGCGATAGTCTCAAATTATTTATTGACTTCTTGAGGGCATTTTAATGTCATATTATGATAGAAGTAATCCTAAAATGATAGAAAACTAATTCCCTCGAAAAAATTCATGCCATTTATTTTAAATCCAGATATTATATAAGCAGATTTTAAACTTCAATTGGTCAAAATATTATATGAATAGCAAGGTAAAGTTGCATTTCTCCAGTGAAAGAAAGACGTAATGTTAGTACCTTTAGTGGTCGCTGGAAGGCAGATGCATCATTGTTCTTCTGGAGCAGCGTATGTTTTTAATTTTCAGTAAGTCATGTATCTGCATGCATAATTGAAATTTAATATATTCCCGAATAAAATGAGGGTTTCCCGTCAATAAATAAGTAAAAAAAAAATAGGTTTGTTATTTTCTTATCTACAGATTTAAAAATATCTTTCCACTTTTTTTTTAATTCAAGACAGAACCAGGACAAATAAAAAAAAATAGTTATCTTAATTGTTTAAAGCTGGTAAAAATTTTATTTCAATAAAATTTGAATGTTCTATTACGATATTTACAAAAATTAAAAAATAATAACTCCGACACCCTGTATTTTGGATACTATCTATTTTTGATTAAGGTAAATTGGGCTAGATCCTCATATTTTGGTCTCAGGAATTTGTGCTAGCATTTTGTATAGACCTGTTAGAGACACTGTATAAAAAAAATATTTATTGTTAATCATTCTATTATTTCACACTAAATGTAATCCAGAGCAATTTTATAATCACGGTCATTTATAAATTCGCGCATACCAGTTTTCCGCAATTACGTCACTTCTCCGAATAATTTCGAGGATAGACGAAGCATTGAACAATCCTGTAGAGTAGAAATCCTTGATCACAGATAACCCATTCATAACTCAACAATTCGATTATCAAAGACATCGGATGTTATATCTACAATTAGCTCAGTAGCATAGTTGCCTCACGTCCTTATATTCACTTATAGGCAATTTTGTGGTTGAGAGAGAAAGCGGATTCGAATCCTACAGCAGACCATGTGAATTTTTAATTAATTTGCATGGTTCGTTATAGGATTTGACGTGTGCTGTATTAGCAGTAACATAATTTCTGTTGAAATGACAACGACATTACAAATCGCCATGCATTACAGTTTCAATGATGGTGGGCGAGATTTGTCCGGGTTTTGCTCATATGTAAGTCAAATGAGTATCTTTAAGTCGTCCCGGAGCGGCAAATATTAATAATCATAGACGTCCCTTCCCCACACAAGCTTAGTCAGCTTTAGGGGTTGAAATTCACTCGTAAGGGGGTGAATTAGAGAGTATTACTAATATATGACCATGTTGGCTAAATGTTGAGAGACCATTATTATATTTTCATAGTTACTTGTCTCCCTCATATGGTTGTATTTTTTAAGGGCTCACTATAATAATGTTAAATACATATCTACAAAACAACCTAGGTTTTGGCTAGGAGAAACAATAGGGGGAATTAATTGATGAAAGTGCATTTTTCAACTGGTTATAACCTTTTTGAAAAAAAAACTAGCTCTTTATTTTTCAATTAACCTGCTGAAATTTTAATAATAAGCAACATTGGGCCTGCAGTCAGCCATCAAGTTTTAACAGTTAAAATAGCAAAAGGCTGTAAAATGCCCTTTACCTGTATGATGGCAAAGTGACTCTGGGTTGTTTAAAGCCCTGTCTGTAACTGTTCATTTATAATAAATGAATAACTTACAACAAATAGTGAAATCCGACAACTGGGGGTTGATAATTAATTTAAATAATTCTTATATATTACATATATTCAAATTTTTATTTCGAATTCAAACAACATCCCAGCGTATCCCGCCTCGTAGGCGCCGTTTAATTACTTCTGGGAAAAGAAATCGACGCGTAAACTGTAACAGCCGCTAGCTAAAAGACCAGATGTAAACCGATAGGGTTATATTCAGGAATTAATACAGGGCTTTATAGTCTTTATACACCGAATTCACAGTCGTTCTCTTTCCGATACATTTGCATATATGGGAAATTTAAGTATAAATACCAGGGTTTTTGTGGGCTGGGGGGACATTAGCTTTTTGATCTTCACCGAGTCAAGTTAACAAAAAACGCAAATATCCACGTTACCGCCACGGTGACTCCTTTTTCTTTATATTCTTCAAATATAATTAAAAAGAGATATCGCTACCCTTACGGTGGCCGCGTTTTTGTTATATTTTGAGAACGGAAATAAAAGATATCGACGGAGTAGAGAAATTAGTTTCTATAAACGACGGCTTCTGCATAGATATCCAGTTGTCTTTAGGATGACCACCTTTTTCTTATATTTTATATATAAGTAAAAGGAGATATATAGTCAGACCAAGCAGATACACGTTTAATAGAACCAGATTTCGCTCCTAGAACTGTTTTGTAAGGTTGTATCTACCGAGCGACTAAAATATTGGCGTAACTGATACTGGTAATACCACGCTAGTCTAGTTAAACGCCAGATATTTTATATCTCGATTCAACATTATAAAATGTTACTAAATGATTAAAAGTACTACTCTAGGCGACGACGTTCGTAGTGGATTTCGTCACCCTTAAGGCTGACCCGACGAACTTGCGTCAGGTAGACGCTTTTATCAGCGGTATACTTTTTTTTTCTGTAAGGTTTCTTTTACGTAAAATTAAAACGATAATCGCAATATTAAAGTAATCAAACTAGTATTTAATATTTAGATATTCCGGGGGAGAGTTTAGACTAACATTATTGGGTTACAGGTATCACTTTATTACTTTTATATTCATTAGCGGGAACATTCGCGTCTGTGTGTTATTGTCATATTTTTGGTATTCATTGATAAACGTTTATTGTGGGAAAAATTGTAGGGTTTGTATATTGTGCTAAATTATACTATTTAGAGAATCGATAGTGATGTTTTGTCATAAATATTAATTATTGTAAAGTCGGTCAACACTCTCAAGTAATAAATTAAGTCATTTAGATTTATGGCCAAAGGGCCGAATTGTAAAGTTTTGGTTGTCTGTAAACATTACCTGCCCCTTTCAGTAAAGAGGAAACGCACTTTCGGTTTTACTTTTAAATGGCAAACAGATGTAGATTGGTAGGATAAAAGGCCTTGATTTGTATATATTTTAAAGTCAGATTGCGGTTAAAAAATGTTTTCTGTCGTTCTTTGTAAAACAAAATTGGGTAGACAAATGTGTCATTTTGGCCGTAAGGAGTGTTAGTTTTGTATATCGATTTTTCGGGAAAAAGGAGATATGTACAGCGGCGGGTAGAATCATGAATATTGAGGAGGGTCATATTTATTTGTACATATCCACATATCTTTAGCGGGACATTACGAGGAAGTAGTCGGTATGTTTGTTATTTATTTAGAATAAATAGGTGAAATTGTGTTTGTGGACTAGCTAACGTATCCTCAGAACTGTGATTAATAACAATGATTTGTCAATCGACAGAGCAAAAGAGCATCGCGCCGAAAAAGAGCCTTAGGCCACCATAGACCGCCAGGGACCTCAATAGTAAGGGCCTAAAAATGGTATTTCCCTTGCGGCTATGTAAATTAAAGCCTGATAGAGGCTTGGATGGATCTCTACTGAGATACCCCAAAAGTGGGCCTGACGGGCATCCCCCTTTATATCAGGTGTTCTCCGATCGACCGTTCAGTGTTTTCCATACAGGACTGGGTATGTCAGTACATTACGGCATTGGAATATTAGGGAAAGACGTAACGTATGGTGAGGTAAATCTAAACTCCGGGTTTTACACATGTTACAAACATTATTTTATATTTCACCGAACTCCCCGTGCTACCGCTGTACTCTCTTTTATTAGACAATGCGTAATTCAGTATTTCCGTGGAAACGTGTGATTGTATATTAGGAGACAAACAAATATACCAAAGTACTTCCGACTTTTATTTTACCCTTTTATGGGAACTAAAAGCTCTGAGGTTAGAAATGACACATTGGAAAGCCTACCTAAACATAATGTTAAACCTAAAAATGGCACATAATCTAAATATCCGGCTGTACAAAAGAATAAACAGTATTCCAAATTAATCTCGGTGTTTCCTTTGTTCTTCCTCCATTACAGCTACATTGAACTCTAAACGTAATTCTGGGGGTTTTAACATCACTTCGTGGGGATCGAAATTTAGGCCAAGGTTAAGGGTATTTGGAAAACTAGGTTAGGGCCCAGTTTGTCAAGTTACAATGGAGGATATAATATGGTAATCAACATGATCTGTTTTGTTTTTATTTCATAAAATAGCTATAGTTTTGAATGAACCTAATGCAGTTCTGTTTTTTTATTTCGTATATGATTAATTTATATTTCATAAACAGGTATGTCTTTGTATGTCAAACCCTTGCTGTAAAACAATGTTTTTAAGAGTAATAAATCTATTATTATTACCTATTAGATTTTGTTAAATGTATTTGGGTTCTGTGGTCATTTGAACTAAGTTTACCATGACCTGAGACTTGACAGTCTGGCGTCATTAAAAACGATTTTGTTTCTGATTTTTAATATTACGATTTTTGATATTGTCATTCAGTCATAGACGTGTAATTTATTTTAATTTGTTTATTAAATTTATATTCGTATATTTTATTTTATAATTTTATAAAAAGGTATTTTTTATTTTATTGTTTTTGATATTTTCAAGTTTTAATGTTTGTTTTAGATAGAAAACGTATTCTTTTATTTAATACCTAAAATTAAAACAAGTTTTTAACTTTTTTGTGGGAGAACATGCAGTTGTTTGTGCCTTCCTGGTAATTTCTATTAAAATGGCTTGGCAACACTGCTAGTGATATCAATATAATAATTTATATAAAAGCATGTTTTTAGAGTTAGGTTAAGGGTTAATGTTAAAAAATTATAAAGTGATATAAAAGGTAGATTTAGACCTTATTACTTGAATATAAATGAAAAAAATGAGATAATGATGTAAGAGTCGTTTTAAATATCTTTAAATACCTGCAATATAAAAAACAATTTTTGAAAAATATTTAGCATCACGTATCTGTAAATATTTATAATTTTCCTTATCATAATCTCTATAATATCTGAAAAGTGCTTTGCAAATATCCTAGCATGAAAAATATAACCAAATCATATTTTTAGAATTTAATGAATATGTTGCAAGTTTGTTAACAGGTCAAGCATAGTCAATTTTCATGTTTCCATTTTTATATCTAGCTTGTGTAGATAAGTAGAAAATATGATTTGGGAAATACCGAATACCCAGCTCATGGTTTATAAAAGAAAAAACAAAGTACTAGGGGGTATCAAATATAAAAAGGACTCATTAATTTTTAAATTTACTCAGGGTTCCTGACCTTTAACGAGTTAACGTGCAGATAGCCAGTACCGTCCGGGAGCTAGGAGAACTAGCCGCTTGTATGTAACTAGCTGTAGTATGAAAAGAAACCATGAGTGAGAAAGTAGTGCATGTATCCATGGAGGAATGTATGTGTTTGTGGCAAAGAAGGGGGTGATTCAAACTGAAATTTTGCAGCGATTATAGGCACAGTTCGGGAAAAATACCCTGTCAAGAAACCATGTGTTTATGTGGTAAAAGAGAACGAGAGCCATGCTATCTGCCAGGACGAGTGTGAGCAAAGCCAATAATGAGGCTGTGAGAAATCTTATCAAGAAAAATTAATGCATAAATCTCTGGAAAATCATAAGTGAACATCAGTTACGGAAGTGTCCACCACATGCCTTGAAAGTTTTATTCTTTTGCATGACAACGCCAGGACTCGTACGGCCAATACCACAAGGCGATTAGGCTAGGAAATTCTGGAACATCCACCATACAGTCTCGGCTTATCCTATTGTGACTTTCATCTTTTAGGGTCCCTCAAAAAAAGCGCTTGGTGGCCAACATTTAACAATGACGCAATGAAAGCATTTGTGCTTCAATAGCTACAAGAATGTCCGACGAGTTTCTACTATGATGGAATAAAAAAGTGTCCAATCTGATGGGAAAAATTTATTTCTAGATCAGGAAACTAAATACAAAACTAATATAGCTTAATTCAATAATGTTAGAAATTTATAGAAAAATAATCCTGTTTATATTTGATAAATAGTGAAATATATATATAAAAAAATTATAGTTTTTAAAAAAAAAGGCAATTCACATTGTGAATAACTATAAATGAGATAATGATGCAATAATCTACCTTTCTATATAAATACCTGCAATATAAATAGTCAACATAACTTTTAAACATATTTAGCATTGCTTATCTGTAAATATTTATCATTTTTCCTATAATCATAATCTCTCTAATACTGAAAAAGTGCTTAATAAGTACTATTGTGTCACCACCAATTCACATTTTTAAAATTTAATATGAGTTTTTCCATAGAATGTTTAGGGTACTGTTGAAAATTAAAATATCTTTGTTCCCCGTTTTCAAGGTTTAATGCTTTAATTTGCTACAATTGTTTAGAAGGTTTGTTACCAGGTTAAGTAGAAAATATGATTTGGGGAAACCCAGATCATGGTTCATAAAAGAAAAAAGTAATAAATATCCTTCTACTGTATAAGTGATAACTTCGATCTTGACCTGTGACTAAGTCAATAAGCTGTTATGTTATCAATCAGGCGAGTTCAGAAATGAAAAATTAAATATATTACCTTCAAAAATCCTAATTTTTTTTGCTGCTGGTAAAGTTTTGTCCTCACTGATAACAATCTTTTTAGCTTCATCTAAATTTTTTACTCTCTTTTCAGCATCTTCCTCCTCTTTTTTACCTTTGTCTGCTTGTTTGTAGTTTTCTCTTACCCATATTTTCTGAATTTTTTTCAACTGTGACTTAGCAGCCGGTTCGTATTTAGTACTTTCTTCATTGCTGTCAACGTATATTACCGGAAAAGGCTCCGAACCTGCCTCTCGCATGGCTCGTAAAATTGTTTTAAATGGTTTTTGCTCACTTCCATCGCCGGTATCGTCATTGCCCCGGCTATCAGACGTGTACAAAGCTAAAATAATTTAAAATTTTGATTGAAACATATGTGTAACTAACCTATAAAACGTTTCTTACGTTGTTTATTTTCCCCAGACATACTGTTTATAAAGTTAATTTGAAGTTATATTTTTTGTCAAAACTTACAACGAGGAACTACTTAAAGTAAGTTAAAGTTTAAAATCTGATGAAATTGTGTTAGATATTTCGCGTGGTTATTTTTTTTATTCTTCTTGTAGAATGCAGGGGGCAGCAGGAGCAGGGGGCAAAAGTTGAAGTAAGTAATAGAGGGGGTAAACGTCAATCCCTGTCGGACGGCTTCGAAAATTTCTGGGTAATGTTTATTTGCCAGTGTCGTTTCACAAAATAAGTAATTTTAAATTGTTACCAGCTGAACCGGACAATCGCATGTATTTATGAACTAGAAATAATTATTAAACAAGTAATATAATTTCTCAAATCATAATTCTACAAAATTTCAACAGTTATTCGCAAATTATTAAACTATTTACCCGAACTTGTCATTAACATCAAAAAAAAATTTCGTACGCCAATGTGTCGGGTCCACTTCGGTTATTTCCGTAACAAAACTGTCAATTTCTGTGTATGAAGTGGGAGAACTGCTGGGGTGCGTTCAGAAATGTGGGGTAAACGCATCCGGACGTTGTCTAAACCCTAAAAAGCGTTCCTAAATAGGTGAGTTCGGTCTACGCACATACTTTGATTTTCTTTTACTATACGGAGAATGGTCGCACTGCGCAGCTTTCTGAGTGCCTTTTAAAAGGAGATAGAAAACTCCGCCAGTTTGAACCCTTATTACGTGTTGCCTACATCTTGGCGCAATATTTTTAATAGGTGCGTTTTAATCATCCGCTTCTGCTTCGGAATTGTCGGTTTTCTTGTTTTAATCTGACAGGTTAAACCGACTAAACCGACAATTCCGGAAACAGAAGCGGATGATTAAAACGCACCTGATATTTTGCTTGCTGCTGTCAGTGTCAGTGAATATTATTTTTGAAGTCACAGTTTATTGCTAAAGAATCAGTTAGCTCACTCGGACCAGTTGAAAGTTCCAAAATAACATCCACTCCAGGGATACAAATTCAGGATACGCAGAAGACTGCTGCTTTATTACAGGCGGTTGTCAAATATTGTATTATCCGAGTTGCACAGTGTATAAACTGAAACATTGAGATCCAAAGTGCCGACTCAGAGTGAGCGATCTGATTCGTTAGCTGTAAACTGTGTCACAGGGTTCAAAATGGCCGTGCCCTATGTTGGGCGTGTCGGACCTCTCTCTTGCCTCGTATGGTCTACGCCACACAAAAAGGGGCCTATTCAATAACGCTGAACGACGTCGTTAATAGACGATAATCGTTCACAGACGACTTTTCTTATTCAGTAGACAACGATTGTCGTTGAAAATAGACAAATATGGTTGTAAAATTGTAGCTGTCGTTAATAATATGAAGTGTCGTTATCACATACTTTGATTTTGTCGTTATAGTGATTTTTTGCATTCCCTCTCATTTTTCATTGTGAATCAGGATGTGTTCTAAATAATAGAAGCACTTTTTTACAAATTTTACAACTAAATTGCCATCTACCTAACACAGCAAGTACAATTTGTATGGATTTTTTTTTCTAATTTATTTAATTATTTTAAAAATAAATCTGATTCCAAGTTAGGATTGCCCATTCGACCATTTACTATTGAATTCTTATTAACAGTGCTGTTCCTAAAGTAGCACTGCGAAACAGTAACAAAACCTATATTATGGAAGTATACTTATTATAATAATACTGCTCCGTAACCTACACAGAAAACGAGGCTAATATGGCCTGAGTTGGCGAAGCAGATGACATCAATAGAAAAGATAATCAGGAAAAAGGATTGAAAGTATCAAATTTGGTTTGTCTTTCAAATCTAATAAATACAACTTGTACTGTTCTCGAGTTGTTTTTTGTATTCTTTTGGAATAGTTCTCAGTTTTTTTTAATATATCCATACTCATTTAAATAAACCCTACATACAATACGACCAGCAAAAATGGCCCGCGAGAAACAGAATTCCTACGAATCGAGAATCGACCCCCTGAACGTGTTGTAGGTTAAGAACAATAATTAATGTATTCTGAAAAACAAATGAATATATTATCTACTGGTAGAATTTTTATTTTACGTTCCAAAAAAATGTCAAATATACCGGGTGTTCAAATTAAAGGGTTACAGTTAAATATCGCCTTTTATATATATATAAAAAAAAAACAGTTTTATAGTTTTTTGGGGAAAACATTTTGGATAAAATTGTTTTTTATAGCAAACCATAATATGGCTAACTTTTTTTCGCCCAGCAAAATTTTCAAGTAGGTGTTACTCAATAAGTAGAAATCCAATAAAAAAATGTTTCCTTTAGAAGTTTCTTATTTTTTTATGAACTCTAAGAATACCTATGTAAAAAAATAGGGTTTCAATTAAAAAAAAAAAATCCACCTCGATATGGCCATATTATGGTCAGCTATAAAAAAATTAATTTAGCCAAAATGTTTCCCCTAAAAAACTATAAAACTCTCTCTTGCGCCGTATAGTAAAGAAAATCAAAGTATGTGGGTAGAAAGCTAATGTGAATATTGTATCAATTGAACAAGATGCGACTCGATGGGCGGAGCCATTTTTATTTCTCATCTCACTCGGGAGTATTTATAATAACCATTTTCTGTTTCACATTGTTATTGTTCAATCCACAGGCTGGTGGATCAGACAATAACAAAGTGAAATAGAAAATGGTCGTTATAAATACTCCCGAGTGAGATGAAAAATAACCTGTCTTCGCCCATAGAGTCGCATCTCAAGCCTATTGACAAGCATTCTACCCCACTCCAGTTCATTGATAGAAGTCCTCTATTAGGCATTCCAACGACCTGTCAAAATGCTGAAGTGGGAACTGACGTTTAGATGTGGCAACCCTGTGGCCTGCTGATTGACAAGGTCAATGATACTTATATATAGTTGTATAGATTGCTAAAAGCGGGTCCTTTTCAATGAACTGGAGTGGGGTAGAATGCTTGTCAATAGGCTTGACATGCGACTCTAAGGGCAAAGACAGGTTATTTTTCATCTCACTCGGGAGTATTTATAACAACCATTTTCTATTTCATTTTGTTATTGTCTGATCCACCAGCATGTGGATTGAACAATAACAAAGTGAAACAGAAAATGGTTATTATAAATACTCCCGAGTGAGATGAGAAATGAAAATGGCTGCGCCCATAGAGTCGCATATTGTTCTATTGACACAATATGCACATTGGCTTTCTACCCCACTCCAGTTCATTGGTCCTTTTGCGAGCGGCCATATTGCCTTTCAAGTGCTCATTAATCAGAATCAGTTTAACAACATAGGGCGCGGCCATTTTGAACCCTGTGACACAGTTTACAGCTAAAGAATCAGATCGCTCACTCTGCGTCGGCACTTTGGATCTCAATGTTTCAGTTTATACACTGTGCAACTCGGATAATACAATATATGACAACCGCCTATAATAAAACAGCAGTCTTCTGCGTCTCCTGAATTTGTATCCCTGGAGTGGATGTTATTTTGGAACTTTCAACTGGTCCGAGTGAGCTAACTGATTCTTTAGCAATAAACTGACTTCAAAAATAATATTCACTGACACTGACAGCAGCAAGCAAAATATCAGGTGCGTTTCAATCATCCGCTTCTGCTTCCGGAATTGTCGGTTTAGTCGTTTTAACCTGTCAGATTAAAACAAGAAAACCGACAATTCCGAAGTAGAAGTGAATGATTAAAACGCACCTATTAAAAATATTGCGCCAAGATGTAGGCAACACGTAATAAGGGTTCAAAATGGCGAAGTTTTCTATCTCCTTTTAAAAGGCACTCAGAAAGCTGCGCAGTGCGACCATTCTCCGTATAGTAAAAGAAAATCAAAGTATGTGGGCTTGATTTTGTTGATCAGTGTTATTCTTTTTTTTTGCTCTTCAATGAACATTTTTGGAAAACATAAATGTTTACAGACACATCGATATATGGAAAAACATCGATATTTTCTTTTGCGATTTTTTTTTACATTTTTTGATGTCATTTTGTCAACATCGATGTTTTAAAAAATTCGCGCCTCCCTAACACAAAATACATTCTTTTATTTTTGCCTTAATTATTTCAGGAAACATGTGTTGAGATTTAAAAATTTAAAGAGATTTAAACTCATCGTGTTACGTATGAGATAGAAATTTAAAGTGATGTGTTGTATTAGTTCGAATGAAAAATCGTTTTCTAGCCTAAGAAAAAGTTGAGTTGGGTCTTAATCACAAAGCATGTATCTTCTAGAGACCCCACGCCAATGTTAAACTTTTAAACCAAATTAGCGACACCTTGTGTTTGGAGCTGGAACTAAAATGACAATTGACAGATGGCGGTAAATTCAAATTGTAATTTTTAGGAGTAGGTAGTAGTTTTAAATTAAATTTTAAATGATTTCCACATAAATTATTTTATAAAATAAAGTATGGAACTAGTAAGTTCGAAACTTTTATTTTACAAAATAATTTAGGTCGAGTATACCAAATTTGAAGAATTAATTTGTTATAAGGGGTCTAATGTGGAGAGTTGGTTCTGCATATTTGTATTAAATAAATATAAGATATATCAATAAATAATAAAATGGAACATTCTTAAGATATGTTTATTAATAACTTAAATAAATATTATTAGATAAAAATAAATACAAATAATAATACATATTTAACGAATACTTACTTGGAGCAAATAGATATATAATCTCAAATCTTTAAAATACCTATCAATAATTTAAATGTGAAGTAGAGACTAGGATATTACATTTTATTAACACTAAAGTTATATATTTTATAAATGTCTTTTTAACTGAGGACAAATGTAATATAGGTATTGTATTAAAAGGTGAATCCTTTTAACTATTCATTCAATGATAAATAGGTATTTTCCTTCTAAATACAGATGGTGATACATATTTCGGAATCCAGTCCAGTGATAAATTGATTATCAATTAGTTGTTGTCCCCGTTTGTCTTTTTATGATGCAGATGCATGGTGAATATATGGTGAATCAATGAAGTTTTTTCGAAGTTTTCAACGTAGCACCAAAATTATTGCAAAACACAGTAGGAAATAAAAAAGCGAAACATCACAATTTTGCAAATAACTAAGACGAAACTATAAACAGAAACCAAAAGCCAAAGCCAACAAAAAAATCACTAAAATCAGACGGAAAAATGAAACTAACCAAGAACATAAATAAATACACGTCACATCTTTGGAGTCTTTGGTTAAGTTTTTCTCCCATAAGGCTTAAAAATGGAGTAAGAAATCATAATTTCACCAGTAGCCCCATCTAGAGTTTGGAGCAAATAGCATAAAAAATGTCAGTTGTCGGTTTTGACCTTGGTCATTCACGTGGAACCTCTATGTGCTTTGTGGTCTTAATTGATCGATTATTTTCAAAGAACTCTAATAAGTGTTACCCGAACCAAATATCCGAACCCACCTCATGGTTTAAAGCGGTTGGTAGTCACAACAAATCTTATGGTTGGCTGCATTGCTTTCTATTATTTGACGTTTTAGAAAGGTAGACATATTTCTTTTTCGGGAAACACGTTGAGAAGAGCGTGTGAGCAATGAGGTTTGTTAAAAATCTTTAATAATAATCGTTTCTTAACCAAAAAACATGTTTAATTTTCATACCTTAAATAGCCACACATATATTTTCAATGTTTGTTTATTGCCTATTTGTTTCCATGTTGACATAAAAGGCATACAAGTATTACACCACATGGTGCCACCATTTTTCATTATTTTTTATTTGCAGTTCCTTAAAACTTCAAAAGAGGCTGGCAGCCTCTGTTATGAGATGTGGTAAGAAGAAAGTATGGTTGGATCCTAATGAAATCAATGAGATTGCCAATACAAATTCCAGTAAGTGTACATAACCTAATTTAAAATGTTCTTTTGTGATGTATTTTTTTTGTCTAGGACAAAATATTCGTAAATTGATCAAGGATGGTCTTATTATTAAGAAACCTGTAGCGGTACATTCACGTGCCCGCGTACGTAAGAACACCGAAGCTCGTAGAAAGGGGAGGCACTGCGGTTTTGGTAAAAGGAAAGGTACTGCTAATGCCCGTACACCCCAAAAGGTAAGCACAAACAGTCCCGTTACTTAAATAACATTAAAATATGTTTTGTTTTCGAAAAGGAATTATGGATCCAGCGCATGCGCGTTTTGCGTCGATTATTAAAAAAATATCGGGAAGCGAAAAAGATTGACAGACATCTATACCACTCACTGTACATGAAGGCTAAGGGTAATGTATTCAAGAACAAACGTGTTCTTATGGAATACATTCACAAAAAGAAGGCTGAGAAGGCACGTGCTAAGATGTTAGCAGATCAAGCTAATGCCAGGAGAATGAAGGTAAAAATTATTTTTTTTTGTCTGGAAAGATTAGTGTGTAGGTATCACTCATATGTACTTGCCAAGAAATTTTTTAAAACGAGACTAGGTATAATTCAATGTAGATTTATTTATTCAAACTAGCTTGTAGGCATGATATAAATATGAAAATACAAAGTATTTACATTAAATTTGACAAGTAAAGATGATGGATACCATGATAGACATTGGTAAAGAAAATAATAAAATATTGACATTTTCCCTGTCAATCCAAATAGTCACTAATGAAAATATTAAGTAAAGCTATAACAGTTTTTTCACTTAAAAAAACAGTCTTCAATTTATACCTAGTACTTATTTGACATTAAGTTATAAAAAAAAGTTATAGTTTTTGTAATTTCAAACTTTCTAATCTTAAATCCATGATAATAAATTTAAAAACTTTCTTGTACTAAAATTGAAACATTTTGTTGATTTTTTGTTTTGTCTCATCATGGGTGCCTTTCAAAAAATGTTTTTTTTGCAGAATGTTATTTTTTTAATATAAGAAAATTCTATTTTTCAAGTTTTAAGTTTTGCTTATATTTTTTGTTTTATAATAATATATAAGAACTAAAAACCTATAAAATCTAAAAATTTATTTAGGTGTACATTATTTAATTTTTCCAACCCTGATCTTAATGTACTAGGCATTGGAAATTTTTTTCAAAAATTGGTTTTAAAAACATAAATAACTTTTATAAAAATGAGCTTTATTTGATGTAAGCAAACTGTTTTTTTAATGAGAACTGTTGTCAGACAACACTAATCCGCTTGAATTAAGTGCTTGAAAATGGGAAAAATTAAAACTCGCTGAGGAATATATTATAGTATATTCATTTGATTTTCACTTTCCCAAAAAAGTGGTATTCTTGAAAGGTCAGGATAACCAAGTGAGGGGAAAATGGATGTTGAACAGAAATATAGATATTTGTAGATCATTGAACTAATTAGAAACTATTAATTTTTTCCAACAAATGACTCTCGTTGTTGCTGGCTGTGACATTTGTACCTAGGGTTGCAAAAAACCAAAGAATAAAAAAATATATAGGTAATGTCAAAAAGTATAAAATAAGCAAAACTTAACAAATATAATTTTATCATATTAATCACATTCTGCAAACATTAAGTTCATGATAAAATAAAATAATTTAAATGTAAAAAATTGTAAACTTTTGGATTCCAAATATGTATCTGGAACAAAATAATGAAAACACCTAAATATCCAAAAATTTTAGGAATCCTAAAAAAATGTTGAAAAAAATCTGTTCATTCATGTAAAACTTTGCATCTATCTAATATCTAGTTGTACTTGTTATTATCAGCATTTTAACCATTTCATTTATATGCATTTTAAAAAGCTTATTGTGCATTAAGAATAATACAAATGCACATTATAAACTGTTTCTTTCTTCATAATAGAAAACACCTAGATTTCATTTTAACTTTGTTGTCATGAAATTATTTCATATAAAGATGTTACCAGGGGCTAAAGGGCCTGTTCTATGGTGTACTATCCAAATTAAAAACTTTAAACTATTGAAATAGAATAAAAAGATGCTATGACGATACTAAAAGTGTTCACACCTTCGCATTACACTGTTACGTCATATGTCAAAACCAAGCTAGTTAGTTTTGGTGAGAATAAATGCCATTTTTTTTATTTAATTCTGCCAATCTTCAAATATAAAATTATTGATACCACTCGTAAGTTGCCATTTTGATTACACTTTTCTGCCACCCGCAGTGTGTTCATCTGTAATAAAGCAAAGTAGTGTATGTTTATGTCATCTCTACTTCATTCTATCTCAATGCTTTAAACTAAAATATCAAAGTAAATATCAACACATTTATGTCTTTAATTATCAAACTAGAAATTAAAATCTCTTGACAATTCTAAAACAAACAACATTTAAATTTGAAAAGTCTCCTAAATGGGCTTTATTAAACTTTTTTACTTTTTAATAAGAGCCAAAAGCATCTTTTTTAACTTTGGTGCAAGAGAGAGAGACTGCTCCAATTATTTTTTCCATTTTAACAAAGATATATCACCAACAAGAAAGTAAAGTAAGTTACATGTAAATATGTCACCTGTCACCCTTTGATTATAATGTTTTATTTTTGTTCGAATAAGCAGCAATTATTTTTATTTTTTCCCAAAAGTAAACAAAAATACAGCAAGGTCCTCAATCATGGCTCATTTACTAAATTAGACCGTAATACTAGTTAATCTATTTGTGTTTAAATTTTCCTTATGAATTTCTTGTATCTGAATAGTGTCTTGTGGTTTTCCTAGTGGAAAGAGAATATGGAGATAAAATAACATTGTGAGATTTTGGGGCCAATTTGTAGTGCTAGTCGTTAAGAAATAAGTGAAGATAAAAATGTCATTTAAAGCTTGCTTTTTTTCTTAACCACTAGCAGTGCAAATAGGCCTTTATGGACTATTTTTTATGTTCTTCATCTAGTCTACTTTATCTTTTACTTTGTTTGGAAATGGTTGTTGCATTTGTTGTAAATTTAAAAATAAAATGGAAAATCATTTTCTATAATATAATGTGCTGTAGATTTTCACATACATTTTTTTGTCTTTAGGTGAAACAAGCTAGAGAAAGACGGGAAGAACGTATTGCTACAAAGAAGCAAGAAGTGTTGCAGAACTACCAGAGGGAAGATGAAGCAGCAGCCGCTAAGAAATAAGTTATGTTTTATAAGATGACTATAATAAAAATAGAAAAAAAGTAAATCTACATTATTTTATTATATCCTATTAGACCCTTTTGAAGTTAAGACTTATTTGTTGCATTTTCTTTTTAAAATCTAGATCTACATATACTAGAATCCTTTTATTCTCTTAAATATTTCATATACTTTTCTGCATTTATGACCGTTTTGTTATGAATTGAGTAGCAAGATATTGTAAGTTTTCTAATTAGCTATATCAGCATGTATTTTCTCTAATTTAAATCGGTCATAAAATGTTTAGGTTCACCCTCTTAGGAGTTAATTTCAACTTTGCGCTTTTGTACGAGGAAAGGATTTTAGACTTATTTGCCGTGTCTATCCGGGGCAATTTACAGATGATTAATAGTACCATTTGATATACAAGTCAGGAAAACCTCGCCCAGCTACCCATTATCAAAACCGTAATGCACGACGATTTAAAATCTGGATACTAAACTTGCACTTGCTCGTTCACTGAATGAAGTGAACTAATTTGTTCAAATAGTTCAGCTGAATATTTTAACAGTATGGGTGATGATTCGATGAATGTGAGGTATGAACGATATATAAAAATAAGTGAAATTTAAAAAATTATTATTTACCTAATAAAAGAATCTTTGAAAAATAAGCAAAAAAAAAACTAATGAAGTTGGCAGTATCCAGAGTTATTTACATTACAATTTACATATTGTGTAAAAAAAGAAAATTAGATACTCTTTCTGAATTTAACATAGTTATTATTTCGCTAAAAATCTTGTCCAGCATTACAAAAAACTCAAGGCACAGAGGTGGGTAATAATCAAAATGAAAAGGTCACACGATTTATAAGAAACTGTATCTATAACGTTTTCGTTCGGTTCAACCGAACTAATGAGCTATGTGATCCAGTTGTTCTGAACTAGTTCATTAAAGAGATATGCTTGTTTGAACTAGTTCGTTCGTGAACCCAAGCCTACTGGATACTATATCAACAGAAATTAAATTACTGGCAAATACGTCAACCATCAATTTCTTCAACGAATCCTGCAAATAAATTAAAAATTCACATAGATTGATCCAGGATCTGAACCACTAAAAGGTATGTAAGTGAATACCGGCTGCAACACAACAGTGCTACCGAGATGATAATCTCCAAAAATAATATCTAATTACAAAGCATATCCAAAGTACTAATCCCAAATTATTTGATAATGTTACTAGGCAAATATTTAAATGGACTAAATCCCTATATTAAATTGTCAGATTGGTAAATTATATAACTAACTAGCTGTTGCCCGCGGCTTCGCACGCGTGGAGTCGTGTTTTTAGTATACAAAAAATGCACGACTTCCTAAAAAAAACGCGATAATACCAGATTGCACGCAGTTCTTATTTTTTATTTATATTATTTTTATTTTTCTCCCCCTTAAAATGTGAAAATCCAAAAACCATTAAATAAATCATTATTTATTTTTGATCAGTAGATGTATTTCAAATTTTCATGTTTTTAATTTTAAGTAACAAACAAAATATATACATACTTTCAAATAAATTTCCACCCCCCCGTTTCCCCCCCTTAAAATGTGAAAAAGCAAAACCCTAAAATATTTTGTTATTTATTTATGATGAGAACCTACAATTCCAATTTTCAAGTTCCTACCTTTAAACAAATCGATACTTTCAAATAAACTTTCATCTCTGGTTCCCCCTGTTAAAATGTGATAATCCAAAAACCCTGAAACACGTCATTATTAATTTGTGCTTAGTAGCTGCAATTCCAATTTTCATGTTTCTAACTTTAAAGAGAACCAAAAACATGGATACTCCCAAATAAATTCCCCCCCCCTCCCATTACCCCCCTTAAAATGTGAAAATAAAAAAACCCTGAAACACGTCAGTAGCTGCAATTTCAATTTTCATGTTTCTAACTCCAAAGAGAACAAAAAAATCGATAGTCCCATACAAACTTTCACCCCCCCCCCCCCCCTCCCCTTAAAATGTGAAAATCCAAAAACTCTGAAATGCGTCATTATTTAATTATGATCAGTAACTACAATTACAATTTTCAAGTTTCTACCTTAAAAAAAAATCGATATCCCCGACAAACTTTCACCCCCCTCTGTTTCCACCCTTAAAATGTGATTTGAATAAAATCCGTTCTTTGTGGGTGTCTACGTCGAGAAAGGAGTAACTATGCCAAATTTCAAGTCAAGTCTTATAGTTTTGGAGATCTGGTGATGAGTCAGTCAGTCAGTGGTATTTCACTTTTATATATATAGATTAACAATATGGTCACTGCAATATGATTTGCAATCTGGCAAGTCAACTTTCCAATCTTTGTAATTGATTACTTTGTCAGGTGCCTTAAAAGCTTATCATCAAGTACACATTTCAAAATTAAAAATCTGATGTGTTCAACACATTACTTTCCTGTCCAGTTATTACAGGCTTTTTCCGGTTAGTTTGTACAACCTATTGTATCACCCTGTAAATACTGAAAAATTAAAATTTTAACCTTTTTCTCAATAAATTTCTCCGGTCCATTTTAGAGAAATTATGTATAGAACAAAAATTATAGAGAATGATATCGCAACAACTTTTACTTGAAAATATATTTATTCGAATTTTCACTTTTTGTCAATTTCTCGAATACGGACCATTTTAAGAAATTTATATAGAACAAAAATTATGGAGAATAACATTACTATCAAATAGAAAAACGACCCTCTATTAATTACCCACCAGATGTTCCGACTATGCCCAAAATCTAATCAGCTCACCTCAGGATGGATTAAGTTTAAAATTTGGTGTTTTTCTATATATCCGTTCATGAGTTTTACAAACACAAACAGACATGGCAAAAATAGTCAAAACGGATTCAGGGGACTCCAAAACGTAAAATCCTATGACAACTCGAGGTCAAAAAAATATTGAATCCTATACTTTCCTTATCTGTATACAGACAGGAAAGTAAAAATTAAAACTAACAATTTTGCAATTTTCTGTATACCTGAACCCGATACATCAAAAAGAAAGCAAAACTTGAAGGTTTATTGGACAAAGTACCTTTATTTTTCGATAAAATATCAGCTAGTGAAATCCTAACTATATAAACTGAACAACTCTGTATACTTTTGATCCAGGAAATTAGTAAACATGTCTATCAATGATAATTTATATATTGAATTGGGAACAAACCATGTCTATAGATGGAGTAGATCATTTGGTTTCGTTGTCCTATCTAATTTTCATCAAGGATCTCATTTGGGACCACTATTATTTAACTTTTATTAATAAAGGTTATTCAAGAATGCTATACAAATTAAAAATTCTACTTTTTAATGTAAGAGGGCTTACTCTTATTTTAGAGGAAAATCATGTGTTGTACACATCACATATTTAATACTGAACTTAGTTTAATTGTTCATATATTTTGATATTTTATATTATTTATTATTGCATACATATATTGTTTTTTGTTTATGGTATGTAATTTAAATAATTTATTTTAATTATTTTAATGATCATTAGCCATAAATTACTATATAAATAAAGGAACTATTATAAGTAAGATTTACATTCAAAATTTTGGGTTTAAATGTCTTATTTTAAGGCGGGTGTTTCAGAGTAAATCTCAATAAATAATAAGAAAAAACAATTTTAATTTAATAAAAGTACAATAAACTAAATTTATTGACCCTGTGGAGCTTCTGGATTTGATGCTGATGATATTGCCATAAATATCAAGAGTGGAATGATATACATCCACTAAAAAAAAACAAAATTATTAATATTGTATCATTCTACCTAACACATAAGTTACTCACATATTTTGCTAAAAATGATCTATTATCTTTGGTTTCACCTTTTTCTTTGGCTTCCTTTTCTCTCTCTATTTTTTGAATAAATGATGCTGTATCAGGTCTATAAAAAATTAAAATTTGTATACATAATGAAAGCATTTATAGAATTCAATTTTTTTTGACTCACATTGGTCCTGTTTCAGAATGCCTTACATATACCACAGTATTGAAAAATTTCAACTTTTCCAATGGTACTATAATTCCTTCGCAAGCTGAATTTGAAGCTACTACTAAAGTCACACCTATAACCCTTCCCATGTAGTCTATTGATACAGATAATCTGTCATCTAACTCAGACTCTGCTAACATACACTAAAAAAGATAGAAATGTGCCAATAAAGAGTCCCTAAACCAAATATTTCTGTAATTTTACTTACTGCTTTTACAGATGATACAAAAGTTCTTTCAGAACCATCATTAGAAGTCACTATAGACTTAATTTGATAGTAACTATTTCTAGCAGCTAAATCCTAAAACAACATTTATTTATTTCTTTATGTACACTTTACAGACATCTTCTACACACTTTGACTGCCATTCATAATATAGAAAAATCAAGTTTTTTGGGCCGCATTTGGAATAAAACTGTTGGACAAACATGTTGGAGAAAAACAATGGTTAAATGCATAGTTCTCCAGGCTACCAAAAACCATGCCCCATAAGCAGCGTTGTACCATGCATACCAATACTGCCATGTTAATTCAAATGGCCATATCTGTTTAATACATAAATGTGAGAAAAATCGATTTTTCAAGAAAAATCACCCCCAAATTTCTATGCATTAAATCTTGGATTTTATAGAATATATATCCATGAAAATTATAGAGATAAACCAAAAATTCATTGTTGTCAGGCGTAGTGGTTGTATCTTTATTTCAAGGAAAATTGCAGTTAGGGTCATTTGAATTAACACAGCAGTATATTTGTGCTTCTCTTGGCAGTCAAGGTGTTAGTAGAAAAATGAGCAAGGGAAACTCACAAACTTTGGTAATCAAAATAAAAAATACATTACAATAGGTACATAATATACTATAGAAAATATATTTGGCATCATATTAGCAATTTAAGCAGAATAAAAAAAACACATTAGGCAAGAAAATTTCAGATCAAATATAACGGTATTAATAGATCTATATTAGCTTTGAATAAAAGTTTATTATACTGAATTAACATATTATATTATCTAGTGGAAATGCATAAGAAAGTTCACAGCATAATTATAAAAAAATAGAAAAGATTAAGAAACAAATAAAAAACTGTGCTTTTTTCGTTTTATTGTTTTTTGAGAAATGAAACAGAAAATAGATCATTAGTTTAAACCATGGGGCAAAATTAAAGAAATATATATTGGAATAACTTACTCTGAGTAGTTTTTGTTCTTCAAGGGATAGTGGTTTTTGGTCAACAGTAGCCTGTCCCAATCTTAAACTTTGTATAGTAATATTTCCTCTTTCTGACCAAACGGGAAACTGTTCAAAGACTAGGGCTTGTTGGAGACGTATTGTTACTGATCCATCGTGTTCTAAATTGCTCTAAAATGAAAATCAATAGTGTGAAATATGAGTTTTTATGATTGTGGGATACTTACACCTAAAACATAAGATAATAAAGCAGTCAAAACAGCTAGTTGATTAATGACGAACATCGTTGAATCCTTATTAAAATTTATAATCAGAAAAATATTTGATTTATAGGTTATGATTGAATTATTTATGCTTAATTTCTTATTCGTTTTTATTGGATTGGCCTGCATATATTTGGTTTTTGAATAAAAATCTTATTCGCTTAGACAATTTAGCGACATCTAGAGAAAACAAAGAAAATCATTTGTTTTATAGAGAAAGTAAAAGTTGAAAAGTCTTTTGGTAGGTAGAGAGGGGGTAAACGTCAAACCACGTCGGGCGGCTCCGAGAATTTTACATTAATGTTTACCTGCCAGTGTCGTTTCATAGAATAAGTAATTTTAAATTGTTATCGGCGGAACCGGACAATCGCATGTATTTATGGATTATAAATAATTATTAAACATGTATTATAATATTCAAATTATAATTTTACAAAATTTCAACAGCTATTCACAATTTATTAAACTATTTACTCGAAATTGTTATTAAAATCTATAAAATAATTTTGTACGCCAATGTATCGCGTCCACTTCGGTGAGATCCGGTGCCAACCTGTCAATTTATGTGTATAAAGTGGGAGAACTGGCAAAAGCATTTCCAACTTTTACTTCTGTTCTAAACAGATATCTATCTCTGCCTTTTTAAACAATTTGTGATGTGCTGCCACCTATCAGATATAAATAGAAATAGAATTGCTGATTTGCCAAATTAAAATTTTAAAGAGTACCTATCAATCAGGGTTGCCAATCTGTGAGTAATTCCTCACATTTGTGAGTAATTTACTAGTCTGTGAGTAATTTTGTGAGTAAATGGCAATTGTGAGTAATATGTGAGTAATCGGGAAGTCAGCGTGGGTATATTCATGGTAGTTAGGCAAAATCCTGATCGGATAATTTATTAAAAGCGTGTTCTTTTTAAAAATTTTAATGTTAGCCTTATTTTACCCCCCTAGCACTTTTAGCAGTCATTACAATTTTATAGTTTTAAAATTGCAACGTCCTCTATTGCTTGGTCAATGTAATAGAGTAAAAGTAATTTTGATATTTTACAACACTAGGTGTCGTTTCGATAGTGATAGTCCCATTGGGACTGTCCCAACCGTCGATTAATATATTTTTTTTGTTCACTTTAAAAGTATATTTTTTTATTAGTAGATTTTTTTTAAGTATTAGAATTAATGATTTATTATGATTTGGTCCGTTAATAAAGAAGCTACTCTGATTCTCCAATCCTTTTTATCTGTTTTTTTGTTCAGCTGATGACAAAGATTTTTTATATACAGGGTGATTCATAACTATTGGGACATAGGATAAGTGCAGGTCATTTATATCAAAATATGGCGATAGGGCCAAATATATACCTTAATAAAATATTGCTGTGGAATAAGATACAGGGCGTTAAATAATAATAATAGTAATAATAATAAACTATAATCTAACAGCAAATTATTTGACACTGCAAAGCAAACTTTTCATAAATGAAATATTTTTTGAGTTGTTCAATTGCGTTTTTCTCGAAAACGGGTGAAATTTTCTAATCAAAAATACTAAAAAGTTTCGTAAAAAAAGTTACCACTTAATTTCATCATTAGGATTCATTCACGTGGCGCCTCCTGTAACAAAATATGAAGTAATACATAAAATATTATTCCTTGTCGAAAAATATGCCTTTGTGCCAATTTTGATATCAATTCATAAATATACAGTGACATCAGAAAAAAACAAATTCCACAGCAATATTTTATTAAGGTATATTTGGTCCTATCGCCATATTTTTGTCCAAATAACTTGCCTTAGCCTATGTCCCAATAGTTATGAATCAACCTGTATATTACTTTGTTATTAAAATAGTGAATGCACAGAAAAAAGGTGCATCTGTTTTGACTCTTGTATGTTCTGAAAATTTATCTTTTAATGTTTGGCAACATTGCACAGTAGTAAAATAAATTCAAACCAAAGTGCAAGAGTACAAAATATAAGATTTATATAAAAAAAACTAGTAATATTAATATTTTCAAGTTTTGAGTAATTGTGAGTAATCCGGAAAAGTTTTTGAGAGTAAATCGGTAAAGACCGGTTGGCAACCCTGCATCAAATCAATGGAGTATCATCTATTGCTGCGTTTGAGAATCCACATCGGATGCATCTGAGATGTAAAAAATCTTTGTTCACGTGATTCAGTATACGCATTGTATTTAGAGAAGATAGTAGAACAACCTTATGGACGTTTCATTGGAGGCAATTCTGTCGCGACATCTGTTAGAAATTCATCAAAATAGCCCGAACGCTAGCACTTCCTCGATCATTGAGTACAGAATTCTATATACATAAAATTTTCTTAATTTTTAAATTCATATGGGTAGAGTTCTAAATTTAAATTACTATTGTTTATATTCTCTAAAATGATAATAAATCGTAAATAAATGTTCAACAAGCATAATTAAACTCGTATATTCCATTTTTACTTTCCTATCTGTATACAGATATAAGGAAAGTATAGGAATCATGATTTTTTTCGACCTCGAGTTTTCGACGGATTTTTACGTTTTGAGGTCCCCTGAATCCGTTTTGACTATTTTCGCGATGATGTCTGTGTGTGTGTGTGTGTGTGTGTGTGTGTGTGTGTGTGTGTGTGTGTGTGTGTGTGTGTGTGTGTGTGTGTGTGTGTGTGTGTGTGTGTGTGTGTGTGTGTGTGTGTGTGTGTGTGTGTGTGTGTGTGTGTGTGTGTGTGTGTGTGTGTCTGTGTGTGTGTCTGTGTGTGTGTGTGTGTGTGTGTGTGTGTCTGTATAACGCATAACTCATGAACCGATACACAGAAAAGCACCAAATTTTAAACTTAAGCTTTGTTTCAGCGTCTAATGAGCTGATTAGATTTTGGGCAGAGTCGGAACATTTGGGGGGGTACTTTATGGGTGGTCATTTTTATATTTTATGGAATATATCTGTTATTTACGTTTGGAGAAGAAAATTCTTTAAATAAAAGTTACTTCTAATATTATTATCTATAATTTTTGTTCTATACAAAATTTTCCTAAAATGGTCCGTATTCGAGAAATTTGACAAAATGTAAAAAAAATATTTTTTTATAAAAATTGTTCAAATAAAAGTTGTTTGTAATATAATTCTCTATAATTTTTTATTCTGTACATAATTTCTCTAAAATGGACCGTATTCGAAATATTTGAGAAAATGTGTAAATTTCGAATTTTGAAGAAAACTCAAAAACGGATAAAGAAAAAAACATTAAATTTTAAACTTAAGGTTTATTTCGGCCTGACGTGAAATGATTAGATTTTGGACAAAGTCGGAACATCTGGGGGGGGGGGGTACTTTATGGGAGGCCGTTTTTATATTTTATGTAATATATCTGTTATTTATGTTTGGAGAGGAAAATTGTTCAAATAAAAGTTACTTCTAATATTATTATCTGTAATTTTTGTTTTATGTAAAAATTTCCTGAAATGGTGCGTATTCGAGAAATTTGACAAAATGTGCAAAATTCTGATTTTTATTATGAAAGTTTTTGAAATAAAAGTTGTTTGCGATATCGATCTCTATAATTTTTGTTTATACATGATTTTTCTAAAATGGACCGTAATGAAAAAATTGTAGGAAATTAAAATTTTTCAGTATTTTCGTTTTCCATGAATATCTATAGAAAAATGTTTCGTGGTAGATGTATGGGGACAATGTATATATTTAGTTTATCCTTTAAATATTTATATAACTAGATAGGAAAGTCATGTGTTGGACACATCAGATTTTTAAAACAAATATTCTGAATCGATTATGGGTCCATCTATTAGTAAATAGAGAAATTACGTTCGTTTCGAAGACGACAAAATTATCAAAGACATGACTTGGACACCACGGAGCTTGCTGCCATCTATTGATACTGTCCATTGTCCTCCAAGATAATTTGCATTGGTATTGTTTTACTAGTTGATCGATTGTATTTAGATCAACTAGTAAAACAATACCAATGCATATTTAGATCAACTAGTAAAACAATACCAATGCAAATTATCTTGGAGGACAATGGACAGTATCAATAGATGGCAGCAAGCTCCGTGGTGTCCAAGTCATGTCTTTGATAATTTTGTCGTCTTCGAAACGAACGTAATTTCTCTATTTACTAATAGATGGACCCATAATCGATTCAGAATATTTGTTTTAAAAATGGAATATACGAGTTTAATTATGCTTGTTAAACATTTATTTACGATTTATTATCATTTTAGAGAATATAAACAATAGTAATTTAAATTTAGAACTCTACCCATATGAATTTAAAAATTAAGAAAATTTCATGTATATAGAATTCTGTACTCAATGATCGAGGAAGTGCTAGCGTTCGGGCTATTTTGATGAATTTCTAACAGATGTCGCGACAGAATTGCCTCCAATGAAACGTCCATAAGGTTGTTCTACTATCTTCTCTAAATACAATGGTTGATCTAAATACAATGGTATACGTAAATGTAATGGGACAGATGTGTCCGATGTGGATAAAAAAACGCTCGAGATGTAAAAAATGCATCTGATGTGGATTCTCAAACGCAGCATATGAAGACTAAAGCGAGGACTGACGAATCGGCAATGGTCAAATTTCAAATTTCCGTCCTTCTTTTTATAAAGTTCGCTAAATTGGCTATATCAAGCTAGCGGGCACTTTGTGTCGGCACCATACAAGACCTGGTGGGTTTTTTGTAGCATTTTTGTAGCTTTTTTGTTACGCTATTTGCGAATTTGTAGCTTTGCCCATGTCCGAAAAAACAGCGGATCCGCTAGCTTGAATTTCCATAAATTCCATAGTAGCGGCACAGATTCAGACCCAGCTGGTTTTTCGTAACTTTTTGTAGCTTTTTTGTTACGCTAGTCTCCCTTTTGTAGCTTGTACTGAACCTGAGAAAAGCGCGGATCTGTTAGCTTAGTGGATATTTGTAGCGGCACCAGCTCGGACCAGGCTCATATTTTGTAACTTTTTTGTAGCTTTTTTGTTACGCCTGTCTCCATTTCGTTGCGAGGCCTGAACGTGAGTAATAATCGTTTCTCCATGAGCGTGAGAGAAAAGTGCGTTAATTTAAAATCAAGTTTCGGCATCTACAAGACTTGTAACGTTGTAATTATCTTCATACAACGCTTGTAATATGTGCAACTCGATAGTGTGACTATCTG